ACACGCATATAATTATAGAGTTCAAATCTATTTTTGTGACAGATATGTAGCTACATGTATTTTATTATATTAGCTACTTAAAAAAAAACATCTGATAGTGTAGCGCTGAATTTCAGGTTACATTTAACCTATGTAAATGCAGCCCACCAATCAAAACAAACCTAACAAACACAATTCTGATGTGAAATTAGCTATAATAGTAGGCTAATAATAACAAACAATAGGCCTACACCATAGCCTAACCTTATTCTGTTTTTACATTCCATGAATTTACGCTTCAAGCTAAACCATTTTCTATTGTTAATTCAACACATTACCACCACATGATAACGACAAATAGAATACGACAAATGTAAGCTAATCTCTTTATTAATTCAAATGGAATGCCAGTTCAAGTTTTCTTCAACATTGCATTTTAAGTAATCAACTTTAAACAGCTCTTCATTATTTTAAAAACAAGGATGCTAAGAAAAGCCAGTGATATGAGTGATGCTGATTGGAGACGCGTGGGAGCCTCCAGCAACAGATGTCCAGGCACAATTCTCGACTGATCGCTTGACATTTCACAAGAATTGCGTTTGGACAATCAACTGCTGGAGCTCATATTTCCATAACCAGCACAACTGTGTGTGGATATTTACAGTATAGGATCTATGCGTTTGGGTCCTCGTGTGTTTGTGCTCTTCGGTGGGAAAAGGCCTTGAAGCACATTGCTTTTTCTTCACATCATTCAGGCGTGTAGCCTTTCAGCCTACATCGACTGTATTTCATAAATTCCTTGGTGGTAAAAATACATCATAATATTTTTCGGTCCACTTTTTTTCGTTATCTAGAGAAATGTCAGAATAGCACGGGACAAAATTGACGCTCAATATCCTACTGTCCGTCTAAGCCTGGGACGCTGCTTTAAGACTGTATGTTCTTTTACCAAAAAACAATAGCATATTTCCACAGAGCTATTTTTTCGGTTACTAAAATAACAACGGCGAAATAAAATCAGGTCTTACCGGGTAAAAAAAGGCAGAGAATAACCAAATTAATTGTAAAATATGATCAATTAATTCGTTCCGGTGTTATAAATAAATTACTAATAGCGAGTCCCAAAATGTGGAATGATCGAGGAATGTGCTGCTCTGTCGACGCGGTCGCGGATCATTAGGAGCTTGTGCTGCACCATCACCAGACACTTTCTTCAGAAGGCACGCCATGTCTGCACCTGTGAGATGTTTCTGACCAAGTATGGAAGACCAAAAAACGAGTAAAAGAAAGAAACATCGTGATGTGCGTCAAATTCCACCAGAGGTCTCGTTCCGCGGTGCTGCGAGCCTCCAACTTCAATGCGCAGAATGAATAAAGTTCTCCAGCGTGTTCAAGACGCGATGCGCGTGACGCTCACAATGCACGTTAGTGAGGATCGAAATTCATGTCTACATAGGCTTTTATCACTCCCATCCAGAGGACTGTTGTGAATACTGGCAGCGTTTCTGGCTGAAGGATGCGCGGAGGCTCGCGTGCCAACTGCGCAGCTCTCTAAATAAACGGCGAGGGCGAGAGTGGGGTCGGTGGTCGCTTGGTACGAGATTTGAATAGCACACCAGTGAGAGATAAATGGCTATTGTGGTGAGAAGGGGATGAGTATCCACTGTCTCAATCGGCGTAGTGACCAGCAGCTGCGCTGGGACCAGCAACCTCTTAAAGAAACAACACTCTATTTTTTGCCCATTGCGATTACAATCCAGCAGTGTCTACAGAGCCATTACGTATTGTGTCCTCGATTACGTTTCCCTTCTCTCAAAAGCCACTCGTGTAAGGGATTACCTGGCTCTTTACCACAAAAGAATCGTTCATGGACACTTCATAAGTGTTTTTACAGGCTGCAAACATTCAAATATAGGCAAATACCAATGGCATATAAAAACAAGAACACCATCAGTGTTTCATTCATGACAGGTTACTAAAAGCATTTTTTTAAAACTTATATTTAACCAGGGTTATTATTTGTCAAACTTTTTACTGTGGCTTTTTCTCAAGGTAGATTTCATTTTAAAAGTTCATTTCTGTATAGCCATACACCTTCAAATATTGACCACAAAAAATCCACTTAACAGTTGCTCAGGAAAAAAAACTGAGGTTTGTCATATTAGGGTTTTATTTAAACAGGCAAAACAGTTACAAAACAATATAGGCTTTTTTTTGGCCAACAAATACTGTGATTAATAAATCATATAATTTTATAGCAATGTTTTTAAAAAATATAATTTTTTTAAACTATTAAAAATAGGGTTGGAAGACAATTCACAAAAATGATCAAATTTAAGAGGGCTCTGATCTGAGTTTGCAACATTTTTTTTTAAATGTGTAAAATGACTTTCAGTTACTGAGATCTAGTTTAGGTATTGTGTATTACTTTAAATATTTTTGTAAAACAGGGAAGACCCCCTAGTAGGCTTAGAACATTACCCTGAATAAATTTGCACTTGTGTGTGAGCTGTGTGTCCAGCCGTGCCAGTAACCTCTGACCTTTAGTATTGTTCGAGCTGAGAGTGGACCAAGAAATCCTGACCATTCAGAGAAGCTGGGAACGATCCATTGTAAAGGATTGCTCGGGGAAAGCGTATTTGTCAGTGTAGCTGGAATGTTGCCAATCTTTCACAAGTGATATTGTCTTTGAAGTTTAAAAAAAATTTTTTTTTTAGTTTTGATGGAAATCTTTGTATGGCACAGCTTTGATTTGGATTCTCTACATCTGTCAGAAATCTCCAAACAGCACTGGTTCGGATTAAATTGGTAATTATTATAATATTATTACTTGATAATTTTCTCGTATTAATCAGTTATGGCGTTAATTACATGAGTGGGTTCATAATTTAATAATTGTGCTGAGCCCAATGAAGAATGGTGTTTCTTTTAAGTGTACTAAAACTTTTTGCCTAGACAGCTCATGAAGCCTATCATCTGGCAGAAAGATATGCTGACTCTTTAAGCAATGTATAATATACGTGTTGTTGCATTTGAGTTGCACTGAACGTGTTTTGTCGATTGAGTGTTCATTCAGCAATTATTAATTCAGTAACGAAAAACAAGTGACTCTTTCAGAACTACAAAACTTTTGTTCATGTTGTTGGGTCGCAATAAAATGTACCGTCTTTATATATTATGGTATATAGGGGTGCAAAACGCTTTTATTTAGAATTTTTCTAACTTCATGCAGCATATTTCAGTGCAAATTATAAGCATATTTATTTGAGTGAAAAGTTTAATTGAAAAATGTCATTAAATTTCAAATTTTTGCCTGTTTTGCTTTGATGACAGCAGCACTTGACCTACATGAACTCAACAGGTTTGTTCTCCGGCATGGTTTGAGATGATCCAAAGAACATCTTGAGCTTCAATGGAAGAACATCTAAATGTCTGGATAAAGAGCTACATGATCAATGACATAATTTACTTATTTGTTACCTAAAATCTGAAATATTTATTTTACGTCATATTTAATTTAAAACCCTTTTTTTTTCTTTTGGCAAGTTTAAAATACTTTTACATTTCTGCGTTTAGCCGAAGACACTTTGATCCATAGCAACTTACAAAAGAAGGAACAAAAAAACAATTTAACAACAGATTTTTGGTGCATTCTTATATTAAACATTCAAGAAGTAACACGGTTCTCTGAATATCAGAAATGTTTGGAAACCTCTCGTTGCACATCATGAGGAAAACACCACAATATAGTGCATTGAATGAATTTCAAAAAACACCCAATCACATGAAACGACACTAGAGGATCATAGAGAGGTCAGTGTTGTCCAGGTTTTAAACCAGGGGTTTCCAAACTGTTTTGCTAAATTGACACCTATGAAAAAAGTTATTTACATAAACACTCTGATATTTGATGTAATCTTTAAGCAATGTATAATATACGTGTTGTTGCATTTGAGTTGCACTGAACGTGTTTTGTCGATTGAGTGTTCATTCAGCAATTATTAATTCAGTAACGAAAAACAAGTGACTCTTTCAGAACTACAAAACTTTTGTTCATGTTGTTGGGTTGCAATAAAATGTACCGTCTTTATATATTATGGTATATAGGGGTGCAAAACGCTTTTATTTAGAATTTTTCTAACTTCATGCAGCATATTTCAGTGCAAATTATAAGCATATTTATTTGAGTGAAAAGTTTAATTGAAAAATGTAATTTCACATTGTTGCCTGTTTTGCTTTGATGACAGCAGCACTTGACCTACATGAACTCAACAGGTTTGTTCTCCGGCATGGTTTGAGATGATCCAAAGAACATCTTGAGCTTCAACGGAAGAACATCTAAATGTCTGGATAAAGAGCCACATGATCAATGACATAATTTACTTATTTGTTACCTAGAATCTGAAATATTTATTTTACGTCATATTTAATTTAAAACCCTTTTTTTTTTGGCAAGTTTAAAATACTTTTACATTTCTGCGTTTAGCCGAAGACACTTTGATCCATAGCGACTTATAAAAGAAGGAACAAAAAAACTATTTAACAACAGATTTTTGGTGCATTCTTATATTAAACATTCAAGCACACATTTCTGAAGTAACACGGTTCTCTGAATATCAGAAATGTTTGAAGTGTTTGGAAACCTCTCGTTGAACATCTTGAGGAAAACACCACAATATAGTGCATTGAATGAATTTAAAAAAACACCCAATCACATGAAACGACACTAGAGGATCATAGAGAGGTCAGTGTTGTCCAGGTTTTAAACCAGGGGTTTCCAAACTGTTTTGCTAAATTGACACCTATGAAAAAAGTTATTTACATAAACACTCTGATATTTGATGTAATATGATGATGTAATCTTTCAAAGTATACAGAATTTTTCCTTACATGATCACTTGCCAAATTTCTGTTATTTACTTATGTTTGTTTTATTTTAATCCATTTTACATGTTTGTTTTTTTAAAGCCATATACATTTTTACTTCAATACTGCATTGGCATTTCTAATTTATTGAATCTTCTGCATTTCCTCCAGAAACCTCTAGGGGTTTGCAAATCCAAATTTGGGAAAACCTGTTTTAGATACTATGATAGAGCATAGCATGCAGGCTACTGCCTCCCAATATACTGAACTTCAAAATATCGAAAAGACCTAACAAAGCTCAACTCCTTCAGTACAGAGTTATCAAAAATTACTATGCATTGTCGTCAATTTTAGTTTTGTCCTTTAAGATAGTTTCCTTCCCTCTTCTGGGGATCTAAACATGGCATCATAAAACTCAACTCCTTTAGAAAAGAAATACAGTTATCAAACATCTCATGTGTAGGTCAGCTCGGTTTCTGCTCTTCTGTGGTGTCCTGAGGTGGCGAAAGCGTCCTGGATTTATTCTTATGCGACGCTCTTCTTCCCTCTGCTGGAGAAGTCTGGGGTTGTGAGTCTGTGATATATGTCAGAAGAATATCTACACTCTGCTTCATGACAGAGTCTAGAACATTTTGTTCCTCTTGTGAAAAACGTCCCAAAACATAACGGTCAACAGGCGTTTTACCCGGTGGCCGCCCAATACCAATACGCAACCGTGGCATCACCTGCGGGCACAATCAGCATGTGTTGTTACTGAATTTCTACAGCAAATAACTACAGCCGATGTGTTGCTCTAGAAACTATTTGCTAACTTACATCAGTATGAAGGCAGTCCACACATGATCTCACACCATTGTGACCCCTGAGAGGATGAAAATATGGATTCCCCAATTAACGCAATATACATATTAAGAGAGAGAGAGAAAAAAGTTATTAATACAAAAAAATCAGATGAAACGTTTTTATTCACCTTGCACTTCCACCATGTTTAATGCCGAACTTTCCAAGTGGTTTGTCAAGCTCATTGTGAATCAAGAGAATATGTTCGGGTGAAATTAAATATTTGCTGGCTGGAAAAAAATCATAAAAATAAATAAGAAATAAATTCAGATTTCCAAGGATTGAAAGGAGGAAAAATATTACAGTGTTATTATAGACAATACATCTCACCTGCTTTTGCCACACTCACACCATTGACGTTCATTAGCAACTTGGGTCGAAGAAGAACCAACTGGATATCTTGAAGATGCGTCACAACGACCTCTCCTGAAACCTGTCGGTCAGATCTCCAGCTATCCGGCGCTCCCAAACGTTCAGCTAACGTTGTGAGCACAGCCATACCAACACTATGTCGAGAGCCATTCATGCCAGGGTTTCCCAGCCCAACAACCTGAAACACAACAGCAATACACAATGTGATTCAGTCATAGGTTTATATACACACTTCACAGACACTAGTACCTATTCTTAGCCATATTCCATTAGCTAATTACTTTTTTACTTTACTTTTTACTTCAAGCTTCATATAAACCTTTATTGTGCTAAATGACTAAATATGTCTCTTGTAATATACTAGTTGGCTAACAAGTGGAATATTAACCAAGTAGTTTCAAATAAACTGGTTATACAGTTATAAGTGTCACTATTGGGAAAGCGACTAACAAATATATATATATATATATATATATATATATATATAAATACGTGTGTGTGGCTCAGTCAGTGTTTCTTTTGTGTTTGTGTACTTCTAAAAAGTTGATTTTCAGAAGTTTGAGTAAGATTTTTAAAACTCTTATTCAGCAACGACTCAAGACATAAAGTGTTAATTATATTTCAAATAAATGCGATACTTTAATACTTTACATATATATATATATATATATATATATATATATATATATATATATATATATATATATATATATAAATACTAGTATTCGTGTCGTGACCAATTGAAAACTCACTACTGTAAGAATTGGCTACTAGAATATAATAAATAAGCACTTTAACGAACAGCCTTATTGAAAAAGTCACTACGCTGGATTAATAAATAGTATTTACTAAACATGCACTATTTACACAAACTTTAGTAGCTATTTTTAAGGAACACAGGTTAAACAGTTTATCATAACATGTTAATGTCAAGTAAAAGACTGTCAGACGTACCATTTTCCTTCTATTACAGTCAACTATCGTTTGACCAGCCATCTTCGGCGATGGCAGCCTGCTCATCAACACTCGCTTGATCAGTGTTGTTATCATCCGTCTTATGAGAGCCATTGGCAGTTTAAAAGCTTGTGTCACAGCCGCCCAGACTTTACCTCGCATCGCAACGTGGTGTTACCATAGACTGTATGGGTGTTACTCATTATGAGTCATGGTGAGTAGTTTACGATACCGGTATGTTACAGTTTCGAAACGACTTTCATCAGACAGATCTCAAACGGTGGACTTTTATATCACGGAATAAAAGTAACTGCAAAACACAGCAACGGCGATTTATATCTATCGGGCATATGTATTGATTTAAATAAATTTGGTTTACGATAGGATTGCGATTCATTCGCGTGGGTCAGTCGACCCCGTTCTCCGATCCAAGCGTGTTGCGAGATTGCCAGATTTCACCTGTAAAATCCCCCTTAACGAGCACAATATCAGGGCGAAGTGTAACATTTGTCTCGGTCTATCCCACAGCGGTTTGAAATATATATCAAACTGAAACATTAAATGATGTGGATGGCAATAACAGGTGTCTTGGCCATTTTAGGAGCTTAATTTATAACCGTGTTTTTTATATATTTGGCAACGCAAGGGCAACTGACCTTAGAGAAGCGAAGGAGCTTTACCCATAGCGCCATCTATCTTGATGGTGGAGAGTAACCTTTGGTAGCTCAAACATAGGTTCATCTGAAATGTTTACGTACAGAAATATTTAATTACCCATATTTTAATTGACGCTATGTCATAGCAACACCGTGAATTAAAACGGGATGATTTAATTATGTTAGCCTATATAGATATTAATGAATATAACGAATATGTCTGAAATGTTCATCTCACTTAAGTAGCCTAATTACTGAATAACAACCCCATGGTTTACAATTACAATAAATAATACATTTAAAAAATACCACACGGGTCTTATTTCATCGTTTCACTTCAAATAAAAGCAATATTTTTTAATCCACAAATCTAAAAACATTAATGTGTTCACAAAATAAACAGACAAATAGACACACGTCTGTGCGTATTACTATTTGTCTGTTTATTTTGTGAACACACACACGTACACACAAAGTATGATAACCTCAAAACTGTTTCAAATGACTAAATCTCACAAATGATTAATTAAGAAGAATTTATTATTTAAAGTTGTAAATTTAATGTATAATTCACAGGTGTCATGTGAGGTCCACAGGTGCCGGATGAATGCAGGAGGCAGAGGTGCTGGAGGCGCTGCTGGTGGAGAGTCCTGTGGAGATCCATGTAGTCTTGCCAGTTGCCACGAGGAACCATCTGTCAACTGCAGGGATGCTCTTCTCGCGCTTGGTCAGAGAGGAGGGCTGCATCATGTCCGGTTTGAGTCAGGTGTGTGTCACTCATCATCACCCCAGTTCTTTATAGAAGAATCGTCTAAAGGCACCAGGCAGGAATGTATTTTTTTTGGGGTACTGCACACCTGTCCAATTTGTGGTGAACTTCTGAAAGACTTGCTTGACTTAGGGCCTCACAAGATCACTGGGTCAAGCACGTGCTCTTGTTTGTTTTAATTTTGTGACAATTACTGAGTGGCCAGACTGAGTGCGCTTGTGTGTGTTTGCATCCTGTCAACATTTAAACATTGTAACATTTTCATAACTCTCAGACTAGGCTATAGGCCTATACTTGCCACCTTTTGCAATCAAAAACGAATGTGCTGTAATGGTGTCAGTGACATTCACAGTCATCTGTAGTACAGAAAATAAATCATACAGTTCACAGAACACAACTTGACCTTTTTGCAGGGCATGTTGTCACACTATTTGGGGTGCCAGAGCCTACAGCCTTTAGTAGACTTTCTAGCCAAATGTAAGCAGGAAAACAAATATAAAAACAAATGTACAAAATTTAGTTTCTTCAAATTTAGTTTTGTGTGTTGAGTATACACATATTTTAAGCTAAATATTTTGATATACTTAAAAGTATAATATATATTTTTTTAATTATATATTAATATATAATGTATTATAGCAACACAGTACTATTAACCTGCACAGAAACAGACACATCTCTTTATGTAATACGTAAATATATATATATATAATTAAGCTAAAGTTAACAGCAAGTATGTTTCAAAGTATACTTTCATATACTAAATAGTGCGCTAAAGGTAGGCTATATAACTAACAGTATAGAAGTTCACTTGTAGTATAGTTCACAGTAGTTGCAATACAAAAGAAAGACTTAGATGCATAGTTGAGTACTCAAAGTTGGCTACTGTTACACTTAATAAACTAACAAGTGGGCCAGTTTAGTCCCAAGAAGTACATCTTATAAGTATACTACTAGTAGTACATTGATATTAATCACTACATAAAGTATGCTTGGAATATATGCTTGAACCTTATACGTTTACGTACATAATTAAATGAACTAGATTTATACTTATATTTGTAAGGGAAGCTGTGAAACGGCAAAATAATACTATTTTATATGATATAACACCCCTTCCCAACCTAACACTTAAAGAGGAAACCATACCACTGCTAGAGGAAACACACATTTGTGGAACTGAACTTTTAATTTAAAACCTTACTCAGATAGATTACAGTCCTTGTGACAACTTCCCCATGTGACAGCTTTTTTTTTTTTTTTACTAATATTCATTTCATTGCTAAAAGTTTGTGGTCTGCCAAACACAAAACCCAAATGTGGTTATTGAGCTATTGGATAATGGATACAGATATTAGCTCCCACAGCATCGCTGAAGATGCCATTATATGGCTCGCTTTTCCAATTCATCCTAAATGTGTTCAGGTTCTTTAGTGAGTAATTAATATAATCTTTTTAAGTGAAAACTCAGGGTTGTACTACCTTCCACGTGCCAATAACTTTTTGTATAGCTTGTGGTACGGCAAATAACAGCAAATTGCAGTTCTCCAGTAGGCGACATTAACTCACTAGTAGCATTACTTTTCTAACTAACAACATGAACGTTTATCGTTTTCAGTGGCTGATTTTTAAAACATATTTGGTCTCCACAGTCTTGTTTGTGAAAATAATACAAACGGTATTAACGCAAGATGGCGCAGTTTCATAATACACTGCTGCTGACTGTCAGCACACCCTCTTGATTAGTTGTTGGTTGGCTGGCGTTGCTAAGCAAGTCAAGTAAGTTTGCCTCTTCAGCGAATTAGAGGTAACGGAGAGCGGTTTCACTCTCAAAATATGTAATTTTATTCTTCACATAAATGTATATTTATATTTTGTAAAGATAAAAACGCTACATTTTAATTGTAGCGATAGCTAACTGATGTGTGACCATCGTGTGACAATCAGTGAATTTAACATCACTGTCAGGGACAGAGATTTCAGACAGCTCTCATCAGAATAGTTCACTACTAATACATTTTAGTCTTAGTTTAAGGTCACGTTTGCTCTGAGGTTGTTTTTTAATAATAGTTATGTTTTTGTGGTACTGTTTTTACAGTAACGTTGTTAGTAGTAGCCTATTGGTTGTTGTTGATAATGTTGTTCATTTACGACGCCCACTAATTCGTAACGTTAGATGTCTGTTTCTAATTAGACAGTTTCATAGATGTTTCAATGATTATTAATCCGTTGATGTTTTTCATACAGTCTAACGTAGGACTGCAATAACTAACGTTAATTGTTTATGTGTGTTTCTGCAAAGCATTCTTCCTCTTACCACTTATAAGCTGTTAATATCAGGTTTGTGTTTTAAATTTCAAAATTAAATCTATTTTTTCTAACTGAAGTGCGCTAGGTGGTCAACAGACAAATTCAAATAAATAAAGATTTTAAGAGATGTATGTTTCTTATTTTTTCTAGTGTTGTATTCCAGGTAAAGCTGCTTTGGGGCAATATTTTCATAATTTGTTGTTTATACATAGTTTTAAATAACATTTTTATGATAAAAAGTATAGACCTGAAATTCCTTCTCTAATATTTTAATATTGGGTTGAAGAAGACATTTATTTGGTGTACAGAATTACATTTACATTTATATTTACGCATTTAGCAGATGCTTTTATATAAAAAGACTTTCAAAAGAGTCACAGCAATTTGTCACAGAAATAATATTCAATTATATAATATTTTTTTTGAGTAAGTATTTTAATAAAATGTTTTGACTTTAGTACAATGACAAATAAGAGCAAAATTATATCATGTTGAAAACGGGTTTATAATATTTCAAACATAAAAATATGTAAGCTAGCTGCCTTTATATTTAAGTAAGTGGTCCCTTGTAAGGTTTAGAAATGATTCAAAAACCCATTTGTTTAAATTGTTCTGTTATTCAGAGTTTGTATTATAACTTTTATATTTTAATCCAATGTTGGGCAAGATGTGGAGTACTGCTTAATTGAGCAATAAGTGAAATATCTCTTAATCGAAAGACATAATTGACATAATAATAATAAGTCATCAAAATAATCTCCCCACTGTCTCCACAGGATGTAATCATCTGAGTATCATGGGACTTGTTTACATCTAAAACTAAGTCTGCCAATAGGATGAGTGAGCATGGAGACAGCATCGTCCCGTTTAACCCCACAGAACTCAGGTCAGGAGAACCAGCTTGTAAAGCAGATATTACTGTTCTACGTGCAGACCCAAGGACAGAGAAGAGCAACAAGCAGGAGCTCAAAGACATCAAGAAGCCATATGAAGGTGCCAAACTACTTCAGGATGAGCATAACAAGGACGCCAAACTTAGTCCATTTCAGCCTCGACCTCCCTCTCTTCCGAAGCCCGTGGGATTGGGAATGGGGGGTAAAAACATTTCATTTGATGAGAAGGTGAGGGGGAGAAGATTGAGGAACAGCCAGGAGAGTCTCACCGACCCAGGCGAGACAGGCTCTTCCACCGATTCGCTTAAGGAAGACACCTCATCAAATGGCCAAGGCCTTGCATCCGGACGTCCCCTCGATCTCCCACCCATGGAGACACCGTCATTCAGGATTAGGACCCATAGCTTTTCCGAGACTGACAATGAGCATAGTGATCCGAATAAAGAGCGGTTGAAACCGTCCAGAATTATTTTGTCCCCACTGCAGTCCACTGGGACATATCCTCCTCTGGAGAACAGCGCAGCCTCCACGTCCTTAAGGACAACTAATCGGATTGACAGGGATTGTTTGGATTACAGTGCGGTGGGGAGAAGGGGGCGGGGGTCAGAGAGGCTTCAGAGGAATCTGAGCGATAGCCGGCTGTTGGACACCATGGTGTCAGACAATACCTCTGTCCATTCCATGAAGTCCACCTATAGCGTTCTGAACCCCATCAGACCCCGGGATGTGAGGAACAGGTGAGTGTTTTTTATTATTAATTTGTTTCGTCTTTTCTGCAGCCTGTTTCGCTCAGCATATCGCCATCTTCAACGTCAAGATCACATGATCACAGGCTGATGTGGCACCTTGAATATCTCCCAAAGGGTCCTAAGTGTCCAAGCCACATTTTTATGTGAATGAATGCATGAACCAAATTAAATTTCACGTTTCACAAGGAAGTAGACCATGATTAATGTTCCTGCAGGAATGAGCACAGGCACTTGCCAGAGTAAGTCGCTACTTA